ACGTGAGATACTGTGATACTGCTCCTCTTTTATCTACCATTTGTCCTTTTTGTTTTATAGCTCTCTTTGTTGCAAGCTTCTTTGTTGTTTCTTCCAGATTATGCTCCTCAGGGACTTTGGTATCAGTGTGACTGAACATTGCTTGCAGCCATGCCAGGTTGTGCTGTGATCTTATTGGATTTCACAAGCCAAGGTTAGGCCAGGTCAGAACTTGGTTGAAATAACGTACACTACAAGATTGCCTGGTAGCCACTGGGAACGCGCACGACAAAAACCTGACCTAGATGCTGATTCGATCAGCTCAGGCCCACAGTGTTGCCATGCCGGTGGCGGATGTGATGTAAAGGAGAAGTTCTGACCTGTTCTGGCTGGAAGGAATTTCATGGCTTTTTTTTTTCCACAAAAATATTGATGTTAATTCCAGTGTTCTGGTCCATTCCAAATCTTTTAATTCTCTATCAGGATTACACTGCAGTTCAGCAGAATATTATATTCTCTGATCTTCTTTTCCCTGTACTGTTGCGTGATGCTGTTTGCCCTCAAAACTTGCTACTGCTGTCCAAAAAGATGCGTTTCTGTGATGGGTGAAATAGTTTTGAATTTTTCTCTGCTTTCATGACCTTCTGAAGCAAAATGAAGTATACCAGGGCCTTCAAATGAAAGGCCTCAGAAAGGTAGAATTTATTAGTAACATACAGAAAATTATAGTTGAGCTTTTCTTAGAGTTGCACGAGGTTTCCAACCAAAAGACTATAAAGATGAGTAAGTGTGTTCAGGCTTTGCTTCACTGAGTGCAGACTAGGTGGAAAATGGCACGCAATTATGCTAGGGTGCCCCAAAATGATGCAAAGATTTATTATATAGAGAAGGCTTTTCTAATTATTTGTAAAGGTATTTAGACTTGTTTGTGTTGTATGGGAATAAACTATTAAAAACCCTTAAAATAAACCTGTAGGAGGCTAGAAAGTGAACACTGAGAAGGATTCGATGGTGTGAAATAAAGGACAAAATTCATTTGGGCTATGTGTACCAACCTTTGTTTCATCCCACTTCACACTGAGCCTGAGGGAGGGCTGCTGGAGGGTTCCTTTGCTTGCTTCCATGATGGAACAATACCCATGAAGTTGAGGGAAGAGCAGTACATTCAGATAGAGATACTTTGATATGCACAGATGTGTATTTATAGGCTTATCTAGCTAAGCAGCAGCTGTTGAGTGCAGCGTAGCCATTAAAGCAAAATAGCCATTAAGCACATTTAAAAAGTGTAAATTGTTAAGCTGCAGAGGAATTAGTTAAGGAGGTACAAAAGGGCAGAGGTGACTAGGAGTCAGGGAAGGAAATACTTCCGACTGGATCAGGAAAAACTTCCTGTCAGTTTGAGCTGTAGAGTAATATGATGTCTTTCTGTGAATATGTAGAATTAGTCAGGGGAATGAAGTTTGTAATGCATCATACGTGCTGGAACAATTTGCAGAATGTGGACCAGATGATCAGGTGTATACCCCCCTGGAGTATTTTCGTCCTTTGAAGTTTTTCGGTTTGCTTTTCTCAGTCAGCATCTGTATTTTGAGTGTCCAAGTTGTGCTTTTTAACTGAGTGAAAACGTTGAGCATTGTTACTTTTAAATCCGAGTTTATATACATTTCTGCATAGACAAAATGGGGAATTAAAAAATAGAGTAGGAAAATTAATACTGGATTAAAACTGAGATTTCCAATCTGTTTGGAAATATTTGCCTGTTGGCACTGAGGTTACCCATAATTGTTCGTAATAGGTAAATTATCTCTGTCTCTGATAATCCTAATCGTTAGTGCAAAGCTTGGCACTGCCAGCAGAGATATGGAAGGTGTAGTGCAGAAGAAGGCTGGAAGGAGTCTTTCATCTCTGCCATCCCTTGCCAAGGGCTTACTGTACATGCAAATTCATCAGCTCTTCCATTGTGGAGCATTTATATATCCTTGAGAGGGTGAAATCTGGTAGTTAACTACACCGTATGCTCAGGGGGCTATTTTGCAATGAGAAGAATCTGCAGGATAGGACCATAGTGGCTGTTGCTACAGCCTTGATAAATATGTAGGGAATGTTCTGCAGAAGGGTATGAAGAGCTTTGTTGATTGATTCTGTTTCTACCTCCTCTGTCTTAGGAAGAGCCAGCCTGGCTAATCTTTTTTATGAAAACAGCATGACTAATATTCG